GCCTTTCGTTCCTATGACAAGTTGGGACCTGTTGAGACCAAAAAAAGCAGCATGCAAATTCATGGTTACTGGCACCACACAGTCCATAGCACCCGGAGCAGGCAGCCACTAAGACCAGCAATCACGTCGTAGGTTCCAACTGCCATGGGCAGCAGAGCTGCACACAATTGGAAAAGACGGCCGGGGCTGTTTGCAACAAATTGCCGTATAAATAAATAAATAAATATATATATATTTATGCATATCTCTCTATATATATACTGTACTATATTCTATGACATTATACCACATTATACTATATTATACTATCTTATACTGTATTATACCATAGTATATTATAATCTTCTGCGGGGCAAGGCAGAAGCTGCTTGAAAAGTCCGGGCCCCAGGCGCCTTTGAAGGGCCATGGCAGCTGAAGTGACTGCCCCTACAAAACCCCAACACAAACCTTATTGTAATGTAGTAGTTTCCATTTTCTTTTCCATTAACTCGAAAAAACCCTAAACCCTGAACCCTGTAGTAGTTTCCATGTTCTCTTCCATTATCCCTATAGAACCCCCCTAAGAAACCCTACATAACCCATTATAGTAGTTTCCATTTTCTTTTCCATTATCCCCATGTAACCCCAATATATACCCTATAATCCCTATAGAACCCTATATAACCCTTAGTAGTTTCCATTTTCTTTTCCATTATCCCTCTATTACCCTGGTTGCTCCCCAAGGTATGGGAAGGGAAAGGGCAAAGGCCAAGGCAAGGATCCAAAGAAGCAAGGCCTCCCCCGGCATTCTTTGGGTCAAATATATAGGGATTGGGAATATATAGGGAGTATATAGGGATAATATAAGGATTATATAGGGATTATAGGGTATATGTAGGGGTTATATGGGCATAATGGAAAAGAAAATGGAAACTACTATAATATAATAGGGTATATATATAGGGTTATATAGGGATTATAGGGTATATGTAGGGGTTATATAGGGATGATGGAAAAGAACATGGAAACTACTATGGTAGGGTACATAATAGGGTTATATACGGATGATGGAAAAACGGAAACTACGATAATGGGTGATATAGTATGGGCGT